CATTTTGGAGCATATCTTTTCAGACTTTTTCTTATACAAATGTACGCATGGGTTCAAAACATATATATGCTCTATTTATACATATTTTTCTGAGACAGAATTATACACTATATATAGGATTTTACCTTTTGGTATCTCTCAACACACCATGAATATCTTTTCAATTAACATGTATACACTGGCATCAATCATTTTAATATCTGCATTCATCCACTATTTGACTATAAAATAATTTAGTTAATAATAATAAGGTAAATAGATGGGGGGTGGTTCCTGTCCTTCCCCTTGAGTCAAGTGAGGGGGGGCTCCAGGGTCAATACTCAGAGAACCCGATACATATTTCTTACAGTTTTTGGAGCAGGCATTGGTGTTAGATCTTGCCTAAGAAGTCTAAAGGGCAAATGCAAGGTGGTTGGCAGTTGATGGACAGGATAAAGGAGAGGGGCTGTGCTCAGATCGGCCTCTAGTCCCAGGGTTGCCAGGTGAGGATGCAAGAGCATTTCCCATGGACCAACCACACACTGGAGAGAAACAAGTTGCTTGGTGATTGCATCAACATAAAGGTTACAGTGGATAAAGGAGTTCAGACTTTATTTCGATGCTAATGAGGACCCACTGGGAGGTTGAGATGGGAAACCTGGCTGTAAGAGATGAATCTACTAATTATGTATAAGACTACAGGAGTCAGGGGAGACTAGAGGACAGGGAGTCAGTTAAGAAGCTGTTAACCAAAGTCTGAAAACAAGGTTCTCTCCTTCCAGGGGAATTAGAGGACTGGGTTCAAGTCTGATCTCTACCAGCCTTGATGAACTTAGATCACTCACTTCACTTTCCTGAGCCTTAACATCACTTCTATAACAAGGGCATAAAAACAGTGCCAAAGGACTTCCCTAGTTGACCAATGATAAAGAATTCACCTGCCAATGCAGGGGATGTGGGTTCGATCCCTGGTCTAGGAAGATTCTGTGTGCCGTGGGACACCTAAGCCTGCGCACCATGTGCTCTGAAACAAGAGAAGCCACCACAATGAGAAGTCCATGCACTGCAACTAGAGAGAAGCCCCTGCTTGCCACAACTAGAGAAAACCCAAATGCAGCAACAAAGACCCACTGCAGCCAATTAGAAAACAAAACCCCAAGGAGTGATGAAAATTCTTTGTGCTTTGGAACCTGCTAAAGGTGATGGTTGCACAACCTAGTGAATGTACTAAATGCCACTGTAGTGTACACAATTATAATACTTAATCCCATGTTATGTGAATTTCACCTCAATTAAAAGACAAAAAAGAAAATAACCCAAGAGACTGGTGGGTTTGTTTTCATAATCACCCTTATGTGGGCCAACACGAAACTAGCTTTCTTCCCATACTTGCATTAGCCCTTCTTGGCCGGGATCTCTCCATTGCCTCAGAGCCAGCAACTTATCTGGGTCCCCTCAACGTTGTCCAGGCTTGCAGTTCAACCTGGTTATTAAAAGCTCAGTCACTGTGCAGTTTATAATTTCAGTATCATTCCTCCCCCACAGAGTACGCCTATGCTCCACTGGGTGAGGGTGAGGAAGGCGGGCTGGGTGGTTGATCACAGTAGGAGGTTGCATAACTGGTTTGCAGTAACTTTGCTGGGGCTTCCCTCGCCTGAGTCATCACCATCTGGCTCCTGGCCATGGCCTCATCTGGGTGTGGCTGAGAGCAGGAGGGCCAGATTCTTCACCTGCTTCAGTCAGGACTGTACCAAAAGAGGCGGTCTCCCCATGGGTGCTGTACTAAGTTTTCCTCCAGCAGCGTTCAGACACGGAGGACCCCAGAGAGGGGCTGCTGGGGGTGGAGGACTGGCTGTCCCTCATTCCAAAGCTCTTCTCAGTGCTAGCTGGATCCCTGGTGATCTAGTGGTTAGGATTCGGCGCTCTCTCTCTCAGTGCTAGCTGGGCTGGATGACCATCTGGCAGCCTGAGGCTCTCTCCCTTCCCCGCCACCACTGTCCAACTGATGTCTAACATCCTTCTGAGAGTCCTTCTCTGTGTCTTCCTAGCTCTTGTTCGCCCCAGCTACCTAGGGTGAAGTCACCCTGCTGAATTCCAGTCCAGAACTTGCTTTTTCACTCGCCACTCATTAGGAGATGCATTTAAATGTCCTCCCCCTCTGGCTTCATGTTCCATTTTTCATTGACTCACAGCTAACATTTTCTTTCGGTGACTTAACAAGGACAGATGACAGGCATGGTTGATGGCCCCTCCCTCATTTGTCCCTGGTCCGCCAGTCATTACATGGTGGACTCTAGGAAGATAGCAGCTGAAGAAAAATGGCTGGCAGAGAGGGGAAAAAAGGAAATTGATCTTAACTTTTGTCCCCAAGACAGCCTGAGTCAACTGCAGAGGACACCCACCAGACCCTGAGATGCCAGCACTTCAGACCTTCTGACGCTTCTGAAAGGAACTGTCACAGGAAGATGCACATACAAAGAGCAGGGGCTTTTCAGATTGGGATGGAAGAGGCCGAGAGGCCCGTTCCACGCCCTGCTCCTGGCAGCTAAGGCTAAAAGCGCTTACGACACCGAAATCAAGGTACAAGATACTCAGTGCAGTAATCTCCTCTTCCTCTTTTCTGCATAAAGAACTCCTATCTATTCCCCCAAGTCCAACAAACTACCACACTTCTGGGGAGCCTCACCCACCTACCGAGGGGCAGTCAGGACTCCCTCCTCTGTGCACCCCATGGGGTGCACCAAGAATCCATGAAGCGCTGGGTGTGGAAGGGCAGAACCATCAGGAGAGGGCCCCTCCTCGCTCCCCTGCGGCTGTGCCCCTTGGAGGATCCCTGGAAGTCAAATGCATAAATTCTAAGCCACCATATTAAAAATCACATAGGGACATCCCTGGTGGCCCAGTGGCTAAGACTCCACTCTCTCAATGCAGGGAGCCCAGGTTGGATCCCTGGTCAGGGAACTAGATCCCACATGCCTCAACTAAAAGTCTCCGCATGCCCTAACTAAGACCCAGTGTGGCCAAATTAATTAATTATTCAAAAAAACCATATTTATCTGGCTGGGTTTTGTTAGAAGCTTGTACCTATTCCTGAACTGTTAGCTCTTTGAGATAATAAATTGTATTAATAAAATTTGAGATAATAAATTTTGAGACAATAATTTTTTTCTTTTAAAGCATAGCCTCAATATCTCATAATGCCGGGCACAACAGTAGGCACTTGATGTGCCAGGCCGAAGCTGCCTTTCCCCAAGCCTACAACCTGGCCAGGAAGGCTGGCACCTTGCTCTTCAAAGCAGCACAGCAACTAGCTGGGCCTAAGCTGAGGGCCTGGCTGGCGGCGGCTTCTTCCTCGGAAACCCCTGAGATCCTGTTTGCCTTCACCTGCTCCCAGCTGCTCTTCCTGCCAACCCTTCTGGAGCCCTGGCACCTTTCCCCAGCTCACTCAGCACTGGACAACGGCCTTGCTCCCCAGCTCCTCCCGCCGCTGCCTGGCAGCTCCCCAGCACTGACCACTGCATGACTAACCCAGGGCTTGTCTTAGAAGGTCAGCCTTTGGGCCCTGTGTGTGGGCCCAGCTCAATAAATTCATCTCTGAGTTAGAGAGAACATCAGTGATGTGAACTGATGGGTCAGTGGTGGTGGAAAGAGCAGGGACAGACCTGGGGTCATATTGTGACTCAGTTCCTAGCTGTCTGATCATATCTTCCTAGAATCTCTGTTTTCTCCACTGTTCATGGAGATTATAAAACACACACACTCAGGCCTGAACTCATAGGGTTACTGTGAAGAGTAAACACTGACACATACTAAGCTCCTGGCTGTGTGCAGACACATGGCAGATTCTCAAAAACTGCTCACTTCCTTCCTTTCCTCCTTCCAGCTAAGTCTCTTCCAAGTCCCAAAGCCTACGAGCCTTTGAAACACATGTTCCCATGTTAAACTATAACTTGGGAAGGTTACCAAACTGCTAGAAAGTGGATCTTCCCAGAGGAACAAGGATCTCAGGCAACAGAGACAAGCTCTGTGTCCTTGCAGATCAGGAGAGGGTGCTGAAGGTGACAGAGCTCATACATCACACCTGAGCACGGAGATGAAGGCAGGGTCAGTCCACAGAGAATCAACAAGTGAGCGAAAGCTGGGGAGACCTGGGAATGACTGTGGGGTCAGAGAGAAAGAGGGGGCAGTGACTCGAGAGTGGACGAGACCGTACACCCCTGAGAGCAAAGGGCTCAGCCAGGGACCCTCTGTGCCCCTGCAGCCTCGCACAGACTCCCAAGAAGACAGAGGGAAGAAGGGAGAAGGCACTTGCTTCGGTTTCCTTTTCAGATCCAGGAAATGGGGAGATTTGGGAGATTCCTAACTGAACAGAATGGCCGGGTCAGGGTTGGGTGAGCTGGAGTCAACTCACTGTTCTCGCACAGGGCAGTGGTTCTGAGAGTGGTCCCTGGACCAGGGTGGCCTCAGCATCACCTGGGTTTGTCAGAAATGCTGATCAGCAGCACCTGCCTCAGATACTTCAATATGTTTGCTGTTGTCTAGTTGCTAAGTCATNATAAGCTGCCCAGAATGCCTCTTGATGCCACTGGTTGCCTGGCTGCACCCTCATTAAGCCAGGAACGACTTAAAAAAGATAACAATTCCTTTCACATTTGATGACAAACAAATATCTAATTTGGATATAGCAAACGAAACGCCAAGGAGAAAAACCACTCTTGCTACAATACAACCCAGCCATGTTCCTGCCCCACCTACTTCCCCTTTCCTCTCAGATAAGTCTCTTAAGCACACAGTAGCACCAGCAAATATTTGTCAAATACTGAATGAATGGACTGGCTCAACTGGATTTGAAAATGCCCAACCGTTATGCAATAAAAGGAACCATTTGTGGCAGGGCCTTTAGCCTCCTGGGGTGGAGCTAGGGCAGCGCTGGCCAGAGCAGCCGGGTGGATAGCACGGTGGGATCCTGGGAAGGCAGACACTAAGAGGACAGGAAGAGACCACTCTGGCCAGGACCGGGAATGGAGGCGGCGTTTTTTAATTTAACGAAGGCCTTTCACCGTGAGCTGGCCCACGGTCCTCCACCACTAGCACTCCCTGTCAGCGTCTGGTCCACCCACTAAGCCTGCTGGGGCTTGCCCTTGCGGGAAGGTCCAGCGTCCTGTGGCCTCTGCAAGGCAGAGTGAACTGGAATCAGAGCACCAAGACTGGTGAGCCCATCTGCTTCCCTATGGGTTGGAGGTAGGAGGATGTATACCTCATCCTTCTCGTTCTGGCCAAGATGCTATCCATTGGGCCCTTGGCATCTTGTTTCACTCCCCAAACACCGAACAATTTTCGTCTGTGGCCTGGCTCCCCCCACCCTCTGCTCCATATATCTTCCCCAACTGAGTCCAACATGGATCATTTCATCCACTCCCTGCTCAAGAATAAAGTCCCAGTGTCTTAGCGGGGTATTCATACTTTGCAATTTGTCCCCAACCTAAATGTCCATCTTTGCTGCTCATAGCCAGGCCTCGTCCACATCTAACTCCTGCCTGCCAGCGCCCTGCTCTTTCATACCACTGGCTGCTGACTAGAAGGCCTTTCCTCCTGTGGTCCACCTGGAGGACTCGGATACCTCTTTCTGAAACCTGCTCAAATGTAGCTTTCTGAGAAACGGGCCTGCCAGCACCCAGAAGTATTCAGCTCTTCCTGAATGCTTTCCCAAGTTTTCACTCAGCCTAGAAGTCTCCTTTTCCAACCACAAATTCCTAATATTCTCCAGGACATGGCTCTAGTATTGCTTTAAAATTTTTATAAACTTTTTTTACATAGTTTCAAACTTAAAGCAAAGTTGCAAACCTAGGACAAAGAATTCTAGCACATTTTTCACCTGGATCCCTGGGTGAAGGGAAATAGTAACGTTTTCCTACATTTGCTTTATTTAACCTTCTAGATCTCTTCCTAGTTTGTGTGATTTTATTTTTTTCTGAATAGCTTATGAGTTACTTGCAGACATTATACTCCTCTATTCCTTCAATATGTATGTTTTCTAAAACCAAGGACATTCTCTTACATAATTAGAGACTAATTATCAAAGTTAGGAAATTAATTTTGATACCAATTATTATCTAATATATAGACCTTATTCAGATTTTACAAATTATCCTTTAAAATTATCCTATAAAGCCCTTTATAGCAAGGAAAACTCCCAGATCATCATTGCATTTAGTTGCTATGTACCTTTAGTATTCTTTAATCTATACCACTTCTCTGGTCTTTTTTTTTTTTTCCCCTTGTCTTTCCTAACAATGGGCATTTTTTAAGTATCTAGGCCAGGTATTGTGTAAAATGTACCTCATTTCAGGTTTGTCTGATGTTTCCTCATGATGATTTATGCTGTACAGGCTTGGCTGGGGTACCCCAAAGGCGATGCTGGGTTCATTTAAGGGTATCATATCGGGAGGTATATGATGTCACTCTGTCCCATTCCTGGGGATGTTAAGGGACTCTTGGCCTTCCTGGGATCTGGTACCTGTGATACAGAGATACAGGGAAGTGAGGGACAAAACCAACTGATGATCCTCTCCCATGGCCTCTCTATGGCCATTTCTCATCCAAGCCTCACAGCAACCTTATAATTTAGTGGTGGTTGTGCTCATTTTACAGGTGTGCTCAGTGTAGATGAATAATCTGCCTAAGGATACTTGACTGGTAACTAGCAGATCAGATTCAAATCCAGGCCTGTCACTTTTCCTAACACTGAGGCACTGGAGAAAATGGACAGCCAACAACGATGACTGGATGCTTAAAACAAACAAATCTAACGCCAAGACCACTGAAAAACTTAATACCCTCCTACATCAGTGAGGATGTTTTTTATTCATTTATCCCTTCGACAAATATTTATGGTGAGTCTGCTGTGTACCAGGCAGTGTCACAGATGACAGAGGTACAGTAGTGAACAAATAACATACATTCTAGTGGGACTCTGCAAATACCAGCAAATCCAGCTAAAGTGCTTAAAGAGTAACACAAAGGCTAATAATAGAGCTGGTCCAGGGTTGATTAATTTAGCAGCTCAAAGACATCCTGGCNGGATCCTCCAGGCAAGAACATTGGAGTGGGTTGCCATTACCTTCTCCAATGCATGAAAGTAAAAAGTGAAAGTGAAGTTGCTCAGTCGTGTCCAACTCTTCATGACCCCAAGGATTGCAGCCTACCAGGCTCCTCCGCCCATGGGATTTTCCAGGCAAGAGTACTGGAGTGGGGTGCCATTGCCTTCTCTGAGACTATGTCACTAGCCTATACCAATTCACCGTATGGCCAGAGTAATGAGCTGCCACTCCGGACTCAGGAATTCTAGATTGCCCATACCACCCACACCGTCTCCAGGCTCAGCCTTCCCCAAACCACTTTGTTATCAGAAGAGTAACAAGGGAGTGAACAAAAATTACAGTTTTCTTTAAAGAAACAAAGAGGACTTTGCTTTAAAGAAGCCAAGAGGACTGGACTTCCCTGGTGGCCCAGTGGTTAAGAGTTTGCCTTTCAAGCCAGGGGTGTGGGTTTGATCCCTAGTCAGGGAGCTAAGACCCTATATGCCTTGGGTCCAAAAAAACCAAACCACAAAACAGAAGCGATATTGTAACAAATTCAATAAAGACTTTAAAAATGGTCCAGGTAAAGAAAGTCTTAAAAAAAAAAAAAAGCAGCAAAGAAGGGGAAAGGATGTTGAGTGCACACTTGATAATATTTTCAAATCTCCTATTCCCTAATTTACTGAATATTTATAGACTCTTGGTTATGCAAATATAAGTTTGTGTCATTGCTATTCCCAAAGAATCCTTTCTTGTGATCCAGAGGTTATTGGTTCCAAGATCCCCATGGATATCAAAATCTGAGGATACTCAAGCCTCTTAAATAAAATGAATTCAGAACCCACAGATAGGAAGGGTCAACTGCATTCATTATATCAAATTCTACTCCGTTTTTCTTACTAAGTCATAAAATGTCTCTCTCTTTGTCCCTGTATCTCTTGCCTCATTCCAAAATAAGGCAACTTTTTGGTAAAAGTACAGAATCTTAGCCAGGAGAGGCTTAAAAATAGTTATTAATAATAACTGGCTCTAGGATGTGTACTGACCATGGCACAGGGTGGGATCCTGGAGAGTCCTGTTGGACCAGGCACTCACATTTAGTTGCTGGATAGGACATCCAGGAAGATCCTAGTGGAGGGGTCAGGGAGGATCCAGGGGGACACTCAGCCCCTACCATTTCCAACGATATGCAATTACTTAAGTATTTTTTAAAACTTATTTTTATTGAGGTCTAATTGATCCATTAATATTAGTTTCAGGTGTACAATATAATGATTCAATATTTGTATACGCTGTGAAATGATCACCATAATAAGTCTAGTTAACATACGTCCCCTTAGTTACTAGTATTTTTTTTTTTTTTCCTGGTGATGAGAAGTTTTAAGATTTACTCTCTTGGCAACTTTCAAGAATGCAATACAGTATTGTCAACTACAGTCATCATGCTGAATATCATATCCTATTGACTTATTCTACAGCTGAAAGCTTGTACCTTTTGACTACCTTCACTCACTTTGCTTATTCCCCCCCACCACCCTGCACCAACTCTCATCGCTGATAACTACCAACTTCTTCTATGAGAAAAAGTTGTGTCTATGAGCTTGGGTGTTTTATTGTTTTTTAGATTCCACATATGAGATCATGTCGTATTTGTCTTTCTGTCTCTGATTTCACATAATGTCCTCAAGGTCCATCTGTGTTGTCTGAAATGCCAAGATTTCATTAATTGTTATGACTAACATTCTGTTATATATTTGACATACACACACACACACACACACACACACACACGTATATACAGCTTGTATCTTCTTTATTCATTTACCCATCAATGGATATTTGTCTTATTTCCATGTCCTGACTACCATAAGTAATACAATAAACACGGGGTGCAGATATCAAGTTAGTATTTTCATTTTCTTTGGATATATACCCAGAAGTGAAATTGTTGGATCATATGGAAGTTCTATTTTTAATTTTTTGAGGAACCACCATACTCTTTTCCATAGAGGTTGCACCAATTTAATTCCCACCAAGAGTGCACATGGCTCCCTTTTCTCCACATCCTTGCCAAGACATATTTCTTGTCTTTCCAATAACAGCCATTCTAGTAGGTATGACGTGATCTCGTTGTGATTTTGACTTGCATTTCCCTGATGATGACTGATGTGGAACATCCTTTCACTGGCCATCCATATGCCTTCTTTGGAAAAATGTCTTTTCAGATAGGCCCATTTTAAAATCAAATTGTTTGCCTTTTTGCCATTGAGCTGTATCAGTTCTTTAAATATTTTGGATACTAACCCTCTATCAGATATGTGATTTGCAAATATTTTCTGCCATTCAGTAGGTTGCCTTTCACTTTCTTGATGGTTTCCTTTGCTGCATAGAAGCATTTTAGTTTTATATAGTCCCACTTATTTATTTTGGCTTTTATTGCTTTTGCTATTTCAGTATTTTAACAACTAGCATGATGGTGCCCTTGTGATGAACTGGACATCAGCTCCAATCTTCACAATGACCATTCCCAGTGTCGGTGTTGTGACTACAGCATGATCCTCCCAGTGTTCGCCCATGGTCAGGCATTTGGGCTGCTTCCAGTTTTAACTACAATATGAAGCTCAGTTCTAAACATCTGCATATGCAACTTTATTTTTTATATTTCACAATACATAAAATGTATGTATTTATAAATATGTATCTCATATTTTTGTCTCCTTGGAACCCATTTCCCAAAGTGGTGTTTCAAGGTCAAATGGTATGATCAATTTGGTCATTTGACTTAGTGATTTAAAAACCACTTAAGCTGGAAGAAATTACATTGTAGATCTGTTCACAAAACTTCAAAAAATGAAAGCCTATTTGTTGGTTACTCCTTACAACTATAACTGGTGGAAATTAGTAATCATTAGACATCATCATCTCCTTGGATCACTGCCTGTCTTGGCGAAGGGGCTTGTGTAACTCAATGAAGTGATGAGTCATGCGTAGGGCCATCCAAGATGGGCAGGTCACAGCGGGCAGTTCTGACAAAACATGATCTGCTGGAGGAGAGAATGCCAAACCACCTCAGTATACTTTACATGAGAACCTCATGAATTATATAAAAGGACAAAAAGATATGACATCGAAAGATGAGTCTCCCAGGTTGGAAGGTGTCCAGTATGCTACTAGGGAAGAGTGGAGGAGAACTAATAACAGCCCCAGAAAGAATGAAATGGCCAGGCCAAAGTGGAAATGATGCTCAGTTGTGGAAATGTTTGGTGATGAAAATTCCATGCTGCAAAGAACAATATTGCATAGGAACCTCAAATGTTAGGTCCAGGCATCAAGGTACATTGGACGTGGTCAAGCAGGAGATGGTAAGAATAAACATCGACATCTTAGGAATCAGTGAACTAAAATGTCTGGGAATGGGCGAATTTAATTGAGATGACCATTATATCTACTACTGTGGGCAAGAACCCCATAGAAGAAATGGAGTAGCCCTCATAATCAACAAAAGAGCTGTATACAGTCAGCAAAAACAAAACCTGAAGCTGACTGTGGCTCAGATCATAAGCTTCTCATAGCAAAATTCAGGCTTAAACTAAAGAAAGCAGGGAAAACCACTAGGCCAGCCAGGAACAAATTAAATCACATCCCCTATGTATATGCAGTGGAGGTAACAAATAGATTCAAGGGATTAGACCTAGTTAACAGTGTACCTTGAGAAAGAACCATGGATGGAGGTCTGTAATATTGTACAGGAGGCAGCTAACAAAACTATCCCAGAGAAAAGGAAATGCAAGAAGGCAAAATGGTTATCTGAGGAGGCTTTACAAATAGCTGAAGAAAGAAGAGAAGTGAAAAGCAAGGGAGAAAGGGAAAAGTACACCCAACTAAATGCAGAGTTCCAGAGAATAGCATGGAGAGACAAGAAGGCCTTCTTCAATGAACAGTGCATAAAACTAGAAGAAAACAACAAAAGGGGAAAGGCTAGAGATCTCTTCAGGAAAACTGGAAATATCAAGGGAATATTTTACCCAAAGATGGGCACAATAAAGGACAGAAACAGTAGAGATCTAGTAGATGCTAAAGAGATCAAGATGAGATGGAAAGAATACACGGAAGAACTGAAAAAAAAAAAAAACCACCTTTATGAACTGGATTACTACAGTGGTGTGGACAGTCACCCAGAGCCAGACATTCTGGATTGTGAAGTCAGGTGGGCCTTAGGAAGCACTGCTGTTAATAAAACTAGTGGATGCGAAAGAATTCCAGTAGAACTATTCAGAACCCTAAAGGATGATGCCATCAAGGCTTTGCATTCAATATGTCAGCAAATCTGGAAGATCCAGCAGTGGTCACAGGACTGGAAATGGTCAATCCTCATTCCATTTCCCAAGAAGGGTAGTACTAAAGAATGTGCTAATCATCGGACAATTGCACTCATCTC